TAATTTAAACTCAACGTACTTATACATATAAAGGAATTTCTTTTGTTCATAAAATAAATAAAATTATGTGAATGAAACAGTTTACAAACATATGTAATCTTAATAAAAGAATGAATGTTTAGGTAACATTTACTTTAGATGTTCTCGTTTGTAAAAACAGTTGTAAATACTTCACATTTTACCTGCCTTTCTCCATAACTTGCTGAAAGAAGAAAATAAAACACAAAGTAATGGCTGTGCAATTTGTAAAATTAATACTGGCTTTATGAATAAGAAGCTTATAATGTTATACATGTCATTTATAAATTACTTAATACGTTGACGTTTTGAATGGTAAGGATATTGGGCAATGTCCTGAACCAGAGGTACTGATACATTACCAGCCACCGGAAAACTTTGCACCACCAGAATTAAGGAATTGTGACAAACTAACATTTACACTAAAAGTCTTGTTTTAAACAAATAAAAATGAGTTTGCATGACTATTGATAGAATTAAGGTAAAGTGGAAACAATGTATTTTTAATTTGTAGCTATGATTTCTATATAATTAGCAAGTAAATGAAGCATGCATGATTAAAAATCATGTATATAATAAAATTATTAATTTCTGGAACTGTGCTTTTGTCTGTTCATACGCACAAATCCGACATCTCATCTGATCATTTCATTTGATATACACAATCATACGCTTCAATAAAATTTTGTTGCGTCAAATATTTTTTTCATTTAAATGTTGGTTATAACCATTGTTTATGTCATGACAGACTTACGTTGATTTAATCTTATAATAAAGTTACGAGTGAAAAGTAAAACGACTACTGACTACTAGAATACAACGGTAACATAACGGCGGGAAATAAATCCATTTAATTAAGATACAAATGTAGTGCTTTATCAGGAATAATATTTGATGATAAAGTAGTCAGGATGACTAAGTTATCGGAATATTAAATATCTTAAAACTATCACTGATGCTTGATCAAATCCATCGGAACCGAGGTATGATCAAAAAGTTCTCGGCCCGAAATACTTCTAGCACTGACATTTACACACAATACGTCGATACCGATATCTTATTTAAGATTACTGACCGAGTTACACGCGGTTTTACAAGAGTTTCAACAGTTTATTTCAAAGTACATATTCGGTCAATATCCCCATGCGTACTTGTACACAGTCATTAATAGGCATACAATACAATCAAACGGTCAATGTCAATACTGTACATATGTCATTAAGTTACACAGTATTTTTAGCAATCAGAAAGCATTAACTTATAATAGAATATACTATTACTTATTGACACAAGTATCAACATGTCTCAAATTATATTACTGGTAAATAAATACTAAGGACATATACCATCCTATCAATAAGGAGCAAAACAAAAGTAAGTGTATGTAAGAAACAGTGATACAGCGTTTTGGACAAACTTTTGATTAACTGTAAAGAATAGTGTTTCAAACTTCGAAAGCTTTACATAATTATATACATTGATAACTTTCGCAATTCATTATATAACGAACATTCTAAAATAAAGTGAAATTCATGTTCTAAAATATAACAATTTTTACATTTCCTATCATCAAAAGGTATAGCGCTTGGTTTATTCCACCTGCCAGTTTCAAGCTCGAGTCTTTGTGAAGTAACTCTAAGCCGGGACAGTGTAATTCTAAATTTTTCAATATTGATACCGAGTACTTTTGAAATCTAAAATCTGCAAACAATACATATGTACGAGCTCTAGTTGAGTTATTTATTTCTGAAAACCAATTTTGGATAACAACATCATTTACTCTTTGTTTTACTAAACTAATAAATACATCTACATTGCCTACACTTTGAGATAACCATACATGATTAAAACCAAGCGACTGTAATAAATCTTTAACACTTCTAACCCATGTTTTTTTTAAGGTCTTACATGTAACTCTATGTACAATAAATCATAAATTATTTTAACATATTTTTCATCTTCAAGCTGTATAATGTTAAGCCAGTATTTTATTACACTTACAATTCTTCTACATTTCAAATTTGTTCTACCTAGTTCTCAATAAATGAAATTGTTCTTAGTTTGTACTCTGACGCCTAACATTTTTTTTTACAAAAATCTAAATGCTTTTTCTCTAATTTACAACAATCATATATATACGCTTACCTCTGAAGCATGGTTCAAAATTGGTGAGATCAATTTATCAAAAAGATCTAGTTTGTGTTTCACAGTTATACAGTTGTAATTTATATATTGCCTCTTAAGCCTGACCAGATAGTGTTTCAAAAGAAGTATTAAAAGATCCACCTGTGGTAAAGACTACTCCTAAATAAGTAATTTTTCGGCAATTTCTAAATTTTCTCCTTTATATACAAATGAAATGTTATATCTTAGTATGCCTTTTCTGAAAATCATTATTTTAGTTTTCTAAATATTAACAATTAATCTCCATTTATCACAATAATTCTCCAATAACAATAAACCTTTATGTAAGCCTTCTTCTTCTGTTTCAGATGAATAACGATATCATCTGCATACTTTTAAGAAGCCTAAATTAACTCCTTCAAATTCATTCATAAAAAATATTCTTCTCTGTCATTATGATACATGGCGAACAAAAAGGTGAAAAAGATTCTCCTTGTGGGGCGCCTAACACACATGAAAATTCTTCACTCAAAACATTTTGATATTTTATTCTGGACCTTACACTTTCGTATATTGAATTAATAACATCTAACATTTTACCTCTTACACCATATTTAATTAATTTAAACCATATACTATATCTAACTAAATAGTCAAAAGCCTTAGTAAAATCATCAAACGCAGCATATAGATTCTTATATTTATTCAACAGATACGGAATGAGACCATGCAAAACAAAACAAAAATATCTACAGTTCCTATTTGTTGTCTAAGACCAGACTGAGCTTCAATATAGACGTGATATCTTTTTGTCCAAGTATTAAATCTATCATTTAAAAAATTGTAAATAATTTACCAAAAGAACTTGTTAAAGTTATTCCTCTTTAGTTACTTGAGTCATAAATGTCACCTTTTTATGCAGCGGGATTATAAAGCCTTCGGTCCATTGTACTGGAACGTAACTTAAATCAAATATTCTATTAAAAAGATTATTTCAAATATTAACAAAATGATTTGAACGTTATAGTCAAAATCGTTACTTGACCAAGTCTCTGTAAATAATAATATATCATTTTCCGGAAAAAAGATTAATAATTTCAGGGGAGATTAATTTATCGTAGCTTTTCCCTATCAATCCCTGTACGTTTAATAAACATAGTTTGACCCCACTTTGTCCCAATACGCTGTCCTACTTTCTGACGTGATCCTCTTTCCAGTGGTTTCTCGTTACCCCAATTTCTAGTTCCGGTAGTCACGTTATCTTTAGCGCAAATTACACAGATTAAGTAACATAAAACACACTTTGATCAGTAGAGGCGTATTTGATGTCTATGGCATGGTAAAGGTTTCAGCTAGATTTGTCTCCAGACAGTTGACTGACGACCAGAAACGGACCAGGCTTTGCATTTCAAGATATCTTTAGTCTCGCTACGAGCATGAACCTGATTTTATCTACCGGATCGTAACTCAGGATGCAACATGAGTCCATCACTTCGATCAAGAATCCAAAAACAGAGCATGCAGTGGAAGCATCCTGGGTCACCCCCTGCGAAGAAATTCAAGAGGGTACCATCAGCAGGGAAGATGATGCTTCATTTTTTTGGGATAGTCAGGGGATAATCATAATTGACTATCTTGAGCAAGGTCGTACCATAAACGGTACGTACAATGCAGACGAATTGAAACATCTGCGTCAAGAAAACGCGCGTAAAAGGAGGAGCAAACTGACTCTAGGTGTTCTGCTCCTGCACGACAATGCCCGGCGCACATATCCCAAGTTGCAATTACTGCTGCAACTGACTGCGGCTTTTAAATCTTTCCCCATCCCCCGTATTCTCCGGACTTTACCCCCTCTGACTTCTGCCTTTTTCCGAAACTGAAAACCAAGCTTCGTGGTAGACGTTTTGAAAGCAATGAAGGTGTCATGGAGACGGTCAACGAGTTCTTTGAGGACCAAAATAGAGAGTTCTATTTTGAAGTGTTAAACAAGTTGGAGCACAGGTGGGCAAAGTGTATTGGTGTAGAGGGCGATTATATTGAAAAGTAAGACGATTAGTTTGGTTCTCTCACTACCGGGCCAAGAACTTTTTGATCAATCCTCGTACATATATTAAGTTTGGTTAGCAGCAGACACATGGGCTTGAACTTGTCCATGAACTATCATAATAACCCATACCCAGTCTGATAATTATCAAGACACGTTCAATTACATAGTTGTTATGCTTAGCAAACCGATACCAAAACGTTGGTATCATTTGAAGAGGTTATACAGCTAGCTAACGGTAAGTCGATGGTTACATTCAGGCGCCCATTCGAGCCTGAAGGGCACCTGCAGCTTTAGGTCTTCCTCCATCTGTGAACCTTAAAAGTCGGCATGCGATTTGTACACTATCAATGCGATACATACAACCCAACTAACCTCCAACTAATCCCATGTAGCAATTTATACCAACATGGATAGCGAGTAAGATAAAAAACAAAAATTATACTTTTGCAAAACTTCTTTTTAATATGTCCGCAATATTCATTTACATACTTGATTCTGTAATGACACATTATCTTTGCGCTCGTGATTGGTTAATTGATAATTTGAGAAGTCTTATCAGTTTGAAATCATCCGGCCAGATTTAATCTGTATGTTTTCATGGCATGTTTGAAGAAGTATGCTAATTATGTGCGGTAATCAACATATTCTATGAAAATAGAATTAACAAAAATAGTAAAATATAACAACCAACCATTAACATTAAAGAATACATTATAAGAAAATAAACAAGAGTGCAAGCCTTACTATAGTATTCATATTCAGAACAAAATTTTGTTTACACTTTTTGTCTGAATCAAACAAAAACACATGGTGAAAGTTTTATTTTTTTACAATAAACAGATAATTGTAAATCACTTTCAAATTTTCAACAACACATCTTCTGTTTGTATAATAAATTATCTGATGTACAGGATATATTCTTCCTTTGTTTATGTTCACAACTGCCAGGCATGTTCGACCCAACCATTTAAATGTTGTACGAATCACTTTACGAGAACTCTAAAAGTAGAAAGTATGAATCGATCTTGCAAACTTTGTTCATGCTAGTGTACAAAAATCTGGAAACAAAGTGGTCCCTCGGAAGCATTAATCACAACAAAATTACATAAGAATGACAGACTCGGTTTGATTGAGCCTGTACATGAGGGATAATGAATAAGTGCAACATCCCTCACGCCCTCTAGCACCGGTTTGAGCTGTACTCAATTATCAACACTTAATAGTGCTGGCATCAATGATCCCGAAGGACCAGAAAAATATAACAACACTGAAGTGAAGTACGGGGCAACGTTTTACAGCTACCACACAGCACTTGACACCTGATGTTGTGAAGTATAAAAATCTGGAAACAAATTGATCCCTCGGAAGCATTAATCACAACAAAATAACATAAGAATTGCAGACTCGGTTTGATTGAGTCTGTACATGAGGGATAATGAATAAGTACAAGTATTAGATAAAATAAACTATAGTATTGTATTTAATGCTAACTTTAAATGTGTGCATCATATCATTAAATAGTATTAGTCCAGCATTTCATTTTTTGAAATATCGATTTCCGGCGGTTTCGTTGTTTGACGAAAGCAAAGTTGTGTGTTATGATTTCTCATCTACTTACAATGCAACATTTTTATACATTTAAATTTTTTCACATCTTTTGTTTAAATCATGAAATAAATTGAATTATTTGAATAACATATTTTAGCAACAAATGTAATCTTACTAAAAGAATGAAAGTGAAGATAACATTAACGTTACATGTTTCCGTATATGTAAACAATTATAAATACTTTACACTTTACCTGCCTTTCTCCTTAACTTGCTGAAAGAAGAAAATAAACACAAAGTAATGGTTGTGCAAATTGATACATTGACCTTTTGAATGGTAAGGTAATTGGATAATGTTATACATGTAATTTATAAATAACTTAATACATTGACATTTTGAATGGTAAGGTAATTGGAAAATGTCATGAACCAGTGGTACTGATACAATAACAGCCACCTGAATATCTTTGCACCTCCAGAATTGTGGCAAACTACCATTTATACTTCTTAAACAAATAAAAATGAGTTTGCATGATTATTGATAGCATTAAGGTTAGTAATAGAAAGAGCATCGAAACACGGGGCTATCTGATTTGTACGAGGGGGGTCAGCCCCCGAGTATTAATCAGATTGCCGAGTGTTTTGGTGTTCTTTCCCTTTTGTATCATAGTCAAACATAAAAACACGTTCCTTGTTGTCACGACTTAAAACCCCAGAACAAAGTGACCAATGAACGAGCATCTGAATATGATATTTCTGCCGCTGTCCCTTTCTCTGCCGCCACAATAAGTAAACCCCAGCTAAAAAGAGCCAATCAATGGGCATGCTCTGGAGTGCGATAACTAATACCTGCACTCTAGTAACCGCACCGTGCATGTATATGTATACGATTTAACTATGACACATTTTAAACACAAAGGTCCCGAAACAATGATACAAATTAGAAATAACCGACATCATGTAACGTAACTTTTAAATTTGTTTCTATTATTTCTATATATATAGCAAAATAGTGAAGCATGTTTGGTTAAAAACATGTATATGAATTAGTTGTCAATGTCTGGAACTGTCTGCCTGTGCCTGTACGCATAAATCCGACATCTCATCCTATCATTTGATTTGATATACTAAATCATCGGTTCAATAAGATTTTGTTTCGTCAAATATATTTTTACTTAAATGTTGGTTATAACCATTGTTTATGCCATGACAGACTTACGTTAATTAAATCTTAGAATAAGTTTACGAGTTAAACTGACTAATAGTATACAACGGTGACATAACGGCGGAAAATGAATCCATTTAATTAAAATACAAATATAGTGCTTTATCAGGAATAATATTTAAGCCTTTCGCTGCCAGAGAGTTATTTATTTATTAGAATGTTTTCTAAGAAATTACTATATTATTAATTAATATAATTATTAATATTTGTTATTAGTATTATAATTTTATTATATATGTTTCCAAATCTGCTAGTATAATAATAATTATTGTCGATGGTATAATTATCTATATTTATTATTATTATTATTATAATCATTATAATTATTATAATTATTATTATTATTATATAAACGGAAAAAGCCGTCCATATGGCAAATACGCCGAAAATAATAGGGAAGGCATATGCCGTCCCTATGGCAGTGAAAGTGTTTAAATGATTAAAGTAGTTAGGATGAGTGCTCTTCTTAATTAGTTATCGGAATAACAAATATTTGAAAAACCATCACCGATGCTTTATCAAATCCGTCAGATACTTAATCATAGTTTGGTTAGCAACATACACATGGACTTGAACTTGTTCACAAATTATCATTAGAACCCATACTCATTCTGATATTTATCAAGACACTATACATATATATATTACATATATTACACATTTGTTCTGCTTAGCAAACCAATACCAAAACGGAAAGCGTTTACGCTCAAATGTCATAGCTAATCATAGTTAATCTTGGCAACGGGACATTTGTGTCTCAAACATGAGAACAAATTAATTCAGAAAATCAATTTCTCTGAATCAGTCGCAATTAGAGAAAAAATGTGAAAAGGGAAAATCAAAGATCAAATAATCAAGCTAGATGTTGTTGTTCATGGGGATTTTTACGAAATTTCTTAGTTTTTTCTTTCCTTATTTAGGCTAACATATCACGAGTGTGACCGTATTTAGATTTATACTCAAAACACCTTAAAATTAATATTTTTTGATAAATTTAAAACCTCCCTGCAAAATTTGTTATTCAATATTTAAACAAAGATATAAAACAATGACTTAATTGTTTTGTGAGCTCTAGAAAAAGAAGCACTAAAACAAAACTAACTGTGTGAATACAACGGGGCATTATGGAGAGTGCATCGGTTGTCCATCGCGGTCTGTCACAGGTTTTTCTGCAAGTTCACTCTTGTCTGTGGCAGCTGACAATTGATTAAATGTTTTAAAGCTAATGTAAACCAATAACGAATAAAGGAAGGCATATGTGTCACATCATGTGACACAATCTCATTTCCTTTTTTCTAACTGTATGTTAAAATATCAACACACGTTTCAAGATATACTAAACCGCCAAAATCCCTGTGACATTTGAAAAAAATCCAAATTCTGTGTAAATGACAGGTTCATGTTCTGTCTAAAGCATTCGATTATTTACAAAATCTCTAAAGAGATAGTAAAAAATAAACAAAATGTTTGGAAAGCTTTGTGTCAAACGACTTCGATAAAATAATTTTATCATAAGAAACTCTGATAATTCTGTTGCTCTCCCATGCCTTAAATGATGTTAGGGGCAACTGAAATTTGACCTTTACGGTGTGTTTGTGAATTCGAATCTAAGAAAACAAACAAAGCATATACCAGGCCCTGATTTCATTGCTTCCTGGCGACTTGTTTTCTCTTTTGCGTCTGCCCCACTTTTTGTCGGTATGTCATCACCTCTAGCCCCTGAATGTCTTGGTCCGTTCTTCAACAGCTGAAGATTTGATAAATCACATGCCCGCCGTACCATAGGCAGATAATCTTCATGGGCAGCGGCATTGAACCTTAAAATTGTATAAATCAGAAATGTTTTTGTTTAAATAGACTGCTGAAAATCAAAAATATTCGGCGACTGTAATATTACGTTAATTGGTATTCAAATTTTTTTCCAAATGTATTATCATAGATTTTATCTATGCAGTTTTGACACGTACATTCCGAAAAATTAAGTATTTGATTACAACTAATTTGAATGAAATAAGAATGGGTAACATTGGAAAAAGAGACTACAATCTTCTTCATCCAAAATACTCTCTATTTCTCTCTCGATTTTTAATCATATTGTTCTGTTTGTTTAAACGAAAATATCAAATGAAGGCAATAAACGAAGGCGACACAATTCATCGTATTACCACTCCAACGTAGATGACCTGTTAACTGCGTTCAGTCCAAAGGAGTTAATTTCCGTTATAAAATAGGCAACGTAACAAATTATTGAAATCAAGATAGAATGACATGCCAGACCTTCAAATATAACGTTTCACCACATTATGACGTGACGTATATACATGCAATGTGGAACAAGGCAAATATATCTTTCTAGGATTTCATTAGGCAAACAGTTTAAAGTATAGCTATTTGATATGAAATAATGTTTGGCTAAAAGTACTGTTGGTTGCAAATATGTCGCCTATCAGGTTTTTTTGCGAGTATCTAATTTTATGATTTATAATACCTGTTGTCGCCATCGCCGTGCACTTTGTGATAACCTGAACCATTATCTTGATTTCCATATATCTGCTGAACAACACTTGATATTGTTCCAAACGACCCCGGAGATGTCAGCTTATTAAGAAGTATGCCATCTTTTCTTAATTCAAATCTTTTAATAGTAGCATTTTTTAAAGTTTCAGAACATATATTTTCAATACCAACTATTGTTCGTTTGCATTTAACACTTTTTATAAACAGAGCATTTTCTGAGCAAATTAATGGGTTTATATCCCGTTTGACTGATTCTAATTTCGTTTCAGTAGATTCATGTATTCTTGCCATACTGCTAAGGGTTTCTTCATTTTGTAGATAAATTTCGTTCACTTTCGAAAGCAAACCTTGCTCTGTTTCGTTTATAAGGAATCTTATATGATCCATAAACATTTTAATGTCTGTAAGTGCGTCTCCGTTCATTTTTGAGTTTTTCACCGTTGCTAGTTTTATCAAATCGGTAGTAAAACCTGTCTCAGTTTTGAGATTATCAATTCGTTCAGTTAAACCTTTGAACTCATCGTTTTTTTGGAAATTATTGGCCAAACATCTTATCAGTTCTGGAGAGCAGCCCTTGTGTTCGCCCAGCAGCATGCATTCTCCGCAGGCTACATCGTCGTGGCGCCGACAGTAATACTTTATTGTCTCACTCTTATGTTTGCTACATACTTCACAATTATCATTCTCGCCCACATTACGAACTTCAGTTTGCAACCCTTTGCTTTCCATTAATTCATGCTTTCTACACGATCGTGCTGCAAGGTGATTTTTAAAGCAAATGCAGCACATATATTCTTCACATTGCTTACAAATTCCGCCAGCCGCTCTCGATATGTTGTCCTCTTTACATGGTTCGCACAATTTTTCCTTTATTTTTTTCAACGTACTTAAGTCGGCTAATTTTCCCGACACTTCCATTTTAATAAAATAAACAAACGTTCAAACTATCCATATAATGCTATAAAATTGATATTAGTACGTGAATTAATCATTTGAAATTGATAAACATAAAACAAAGTACACACTCATCCAATCAATTTAAATATAGGTAGGTATTAATCAGTTATGATTATCAGTTTATCAGTAATGATTATCATTTTATTTTCGACTTAACGTATTGTTATCTCAGACAGTTACACGTCTAATCAATAACGAAATGTATCAGGTAACACACTCTTATTTATTTATTAATTATTTATAATGTTTGTTAAAGCACGGAAACAGGAACGGCAACTCAATATGACTGTTCATTTCGATCATATAGCAATTGTCACCCCTCCATTTTGTTGACATATACTTAAAAGATCTTTCAGTACTTAACTCATCGTCAATCACAGCCTCTCCTACTTAATTCGTTAATATCTGACACATTTAGTTTCTCAAGAATTCCATTTTTGTCTATAATCTAATTTACTATTATTAATATTAATTCATAATAAAATTTGCCACTGCCAAAAAACGAAATATCGATTACACAAAACTAATACATTTTGCAATCTTAGAATTTTTACAAGGAATCTCCTCCAAGTAATTTTGCTGCAAATTCGGATCATAAAGCATTCTGTAAGGTCATGTCTAAGGACAAGGCCTTAACATCATCCTATTTATTATATTCATGTACATATTCGCTAAACATATGCGCAAAACGCGATATATTGATCAATACATAAACCCATAAACCCACATAAAAATGTGCAGGCAATTGTTTAATCAAATAAGTAGTTTCTGATACATTTCTAACCCCAAAAAAAACCCTGCATGTTGGATTTCAATTGACCCTGGTATTGCACTGATTGGACGATCACATTCGTCAGCCAACAAATCCTGGGTAACCATATAGCAAAAATGCCCCGAGCTGACCAAATGCTTATATATGTTTTTAAACTATATCTAGGAACAGATAATTGACATGTTATTCAAGTGTTTGTAACTTCAGCTTTGTTTTTTGTTTATTTCAAGTCGTCTGTATTCTTAGTATTATAAGTACAAGAGAGGGTGACCAGAGAAAAATATGTTCATGACAGCATCAAGGAGATGTATAAGTAAAATCACACTGAAATGCTCTTTGGGAAGAAAATTGACATGACTCGTTTAAAATCTAAATAATTGTCATCATATTAAAAATAAATAATCCGTCATAAACATCAAACCAGAATGATATCCTTCATTAAAGATGTAGAAAATGAAGCAATGCGCAGTATGTAAGATGACTGCTTTAAGTGTTTTTAAAATCTTGTGTTTTAAGTTGTCTGTTTCCCAAATTGTGTAAAGTGTGCCCTAATGAAAGAAATGGTATACAGTTTTTTGAAACCTTATAGCATTTTAGCAATCTGTCATCAGAAAACAAAAACTTTCCCTAATTAACTGCATCTAATAGTATTATAAGAAACGAGAATACAGAACATATTGCACAATAATAGACCCTCAAATTTACTCATAATTTCAAGAATATTTTTGATTATCATAATGTTTTATTAAAACGTTAACCCGTTTATTGTCATTTATGATGGGAACGCTTTAAAGTCAGAAATAAAGTTGTGTTTCACAATGGTTTGTATTCAAAATTGTTAAATGATACAGAAATGGTATACACATGTATCGATATCTAAGACAGTTTGCCAGCTACCCATTAAAGAAAAATCGTGTTCTCTCACTAATCGCATTTTTTGTAAGTTACATCATTAAGCGTAATACTTAACTACTCGTATAAATAGAAAAATACTGGAATGACTACTGTAATCTTGCAAACATAACATCCAGATGATACAGCACTGATTATTAAGCCGTTTGTCACGGTCACCATTCTTCAGGGAATCCTTTGCTACGATTTGGACGGATTTTTGCAGCTTAACCTCCGAATCAAGTCACCGAGCCACGGTGGATGAATTCATCAAATCATAGTTCAGTCACTGCACCGTTCTTTGGCAGACTCATAAGCAGTTTACCAATACAAGATGCTTTCACTTCCGTCAGAAACTGCTGAACTGATAGTTATATATGCACATGCCAAAGCAGACGTACTGTACAAATGAACGAATAAAGTTTTATATGATCAATTACCACGAGAGTTACCTGCACCGTCTTGGAGTTGAGTCCAGGTCGTCCAAAACACAGTCAAATGCTCTACCAATTTTGCTAACCGAGCGATGCTTTCTACGATTTAACTTGACGTTTGTGTCTCGGAAAGGAAGAAGTCGCTGAACAATTAATAATTAAGAGAACCATGGATCTTTTCATAAGTATGTCACGAAAGATATATGAGAACATATAACATGTCATTGATAGTGAATCGTAATCCAGTATAATGCGTGTTATATAATTGACATCAAAAGCATTAATTGTTACTACTGACGGGCTGATAAACTCCGACCAATAATCTTGGAAATATCAATATTTTGTTTATTCGAGGCAGATATATGTGTATACAAAGAAAGTATATTTTTTCGATATTAGAAATAAATCTGTGTTTAATTTTACTAATATGCAAGCCGACACTGAAGATCATTCTAAAAACGTAGCATAAACAAATACAATCGTGCACACATTAATAAAAATGCGCATAAATGTAACAAAACTTGAAATATATACAAATTAAGTAATCGCAAAATTGGTATTAAACGTCGCATTAAAATTATATTTATTTTCTTTCAGATTATACTTTTCAATAAACAGCTTTTTGTTTTCACTTCCATATTTTAGAAAGAATTCAATATATATTAAGATATAGAATGATTCTTCCACAATGTCACAATGATGATATATTCCAGACTGTCTTCTGAAAATATTCCAAAATATCTATCAAGTATTGTAGTTTTTTATTTGATAAATCAAAAGATGTATGATATTTTGCGTGCTTTATTGGCATAGCTTTATAATCTGAAATCTTTGTCTATTTCTTTTAGGATTGTAGAAATTATCAATTTAGCTACAAATGTACAATTATAAACCATTCTTCTTTGGAACAAGTTTATACATGCAGGTTTGTCTACTGGATAATTCACTCAGTCTTCCAAAAGCTGTGTTTTGCTGAAACCAGACATGATTACAAAATTGTTTATAAATAGTAATCAAGGTGTAACAACATAATTATCGATTATATTCACTGATCACTAGTTGTTGTTCGATATGTCAATAATCTGTTCTTAGTGTGCTACATGTTATTGTTTTAAAACATCAAACTTCTGAAATGTACAAACCTTTTCATCACAATATCCGTTTATCCTTATCGTATCTTTACTAACACACACAGTTTATTGTTGATAACAAATTAAAAAAGCTATTTCTGCCTTTATACTCGTAGAATTTAAAGATTCGGCAACATTTAATATAAAGATTTAGCATATATTGTAATTCATAATAGAGTTTAAACCTAATAAATAAGACCATTTTAGCAATTATATACATGTATTGTTTATTACCGTTAGTGTTACAGTGAATGAAATATTTTCTAGCATATGAAAATATACATGTGCCACAATATCATTTCTTTAATCATCAAGTAGTACAGTTTTCACTATACATGTAAAAATAATGGAACTATCGATACATGCCTCGTCCCATTTTAGTAAAAAAATAACTATGATAATGTATTGCTTTTGTAATTTTGTCAAGAGCATGTTTTTTTTTTAATTCATGTTAATTAAGAAGTAATTTACCTATTTTAAAAATCATCTAACCGTATCTGTCACGGTTAAGATTTGTTCATTATGAGGCACATGTAATGTATATCAAAGTGGCCGACAGCTCAGTCGGTAGAGCCGCGGTACGGTATTTTGTTGGTGACGGGTTCGAATCCCTGTCAGGCTGCACATTTTTCTCACCCTGTAACTGACTTATAACACTGAGTTCAATTCACATTGCTCTGTTACCCTGATAAATTGGAAGTCAAATTTGCATATATATAGTAGGGAAGCATTTTACAGTTTAGAACTGTTCTGTACTAAGTTGAGATAAGTGTAAGCGACCGAATAGCTCAGTGGAAGGAGCCGCGGAATAGTATTCCGATTGTCACGGGTTCGAGTCCCTGCTATGCTGTTATACATAATAATCAATATTCAAAAGGATCTATCTGAAATCATTATAATAGTCAGCCGACTGTCATTCCATTTTTTTAATTTTGCATTAACTAGTGCTCATTTAGGTCAACTTATACTTGTACCGAATATAATTTGTTAACAAGTTTAACTTGTGTTCCAACTTCGTATATAAATGACTTGTTTTAATATGATTTATTTTAATTTATATGTTCATCTTCAGTATTAATGCTGTTATTGGTTATTTTGCGATCGCTGTACATATAAAATAGTTAAACTTAAAGAGAACATGAAGACGCAATGCTCTTAGTCCTACTACTTTTGAAAAAAAAATCGTACATGGGAATATTGTTCTTTATTCCCATAGGCAGTATGATCATCATGCTCTTCTCATTGTAACAATTGTCACTGCCTTACAATAAAGAATATTGTAAATATGCTCATATTTCCAATACAATATTGAATTGTTAATTGAATTGAATTGTTGATGTTAACCATTCACTTCAAAGTCAGTAAATAACAGCGGTTAAACTAGCGACCTTTCATAAAACAGAACACAAAAGTCATACGGTTACAAAAAGTGCGTTTCTAAGTCAATTTTGAGTAAGTGACAGGTAACAATGATATTTGAATATGTTTAGCGACCCAATAAATAATAAAAATAATAAGGAACATAAAACCTTGTGAAAAAAGTTTATTTTGAGTTTTCATCAATCACAACATACAGTCCATGACAAAAATGATCAAACAAATATTTTGAGGAAAAAGTCTAAATCAAACAAATATTTCACCATAAATATATTTTGAGAGTGTGATTAAGGTAAATCAGTCCTACACATTAACTTTAGAGATCTGCTGAATTTTAGAAAGGGCTTATCAGTAAGTAAATCACTATTAACTGTATATCTCCCCAATGTTAATACACGTTTATTGAGTTGAGGATCTTGTCATCACTAATTGGTCCTCTGTACTCTTATCTAAAAGCCCTAAAGTTGAAACATCAAAATTCTGAAGATGCAGCGCGCCATTAGATACACACACTTTTATCAATACGGTAACAAGCCATGTCATTATAATTACAAATTCATCAGAGATAGTTTTATGGGAAAACTGGAGACCTTGGGTTAATGCGTAGGACTGAAATGATAATTAAACTTCCACTAGTTTGTCATTATGTTCATAATTTCTTGGCTTATTACAGACTACCACTTATTTAGTTATAAACACAGATGAAGCTGTTGGGCTGTGGGGGATTGCTTTGATGTTTTGTAATATCATTGACTAAATAAAAGGAATCAATAGAAATTACAAAATTTTCAATATGGTTGACATTTCAATGATCCATATAAAATATTTATGAATAATAAAACTCTTTGAGAAGACTTAAACCTTGCATTTACACTTTTATGTTGCCCACAATAAAAATATGAATATATGATACGATAACTTGTAATAGTATCAACATTAAATGAATAATGGCCCTCACAAGTTACAACAGGAGTCAAATCAATACGGTCCTCACAAAATTATTAGTAAAGATACACCCTTTTAGAAAGGAAAATAAACAGTTAAAATCATGACTACAACACAATAAAAATATGATTTATGAAGTTAGAATACTATGTTCAATGACATAGACCCCTTAAAAATAAAACTTAAATGAACTCGTTAATTGATTAAGTACATATGTATATGTGAAATAGTATGTGAAATGAGACAAACTAGATTACAGAAAATTTACCATGATATTGTTTACACACACTCCCATTTTGAAGAAATCTGAATATTACTGAAACTGTTACAGACTAAAAAACGTCAAACAGTGCTTTGTTTTCCAGTGTATGATAAGTTTAAGGTGCTTAATAATAAGTATGCAAATGTATGCAAAACTTTGAGCGCGTACACAGAAGGTTCAATTTTAAATGAAAACGTCTGTTTAATTCAAAGGTACCTTGTGTTAAAGTCTCTGGACGCTTTCAGTATTCAGGAAAGTAAACAACCGGTATAATGTTAGGTCATCCTACAGCTGACCGGAGTATTTTTTTTTCTTACATGCTGGATTTCTTTATTAAAATCACAAACAAAAAGCAACAAAAAGTTAGTTAAGTATCATTAAAGTATGTTACTCAAATCTAATAACATAAACGTTATTAGAAAACATAATATATTTTTCGTCAACTATAGATGGTGCTTGATTGATATATGTTTTGTAACTGCATTCAGTTTCGATGATCGAACATGCACTATTGTTCATTGTTCACTGCCAACCATTCTTCATTTGACATTTCTGAAAGGAAATGATATTACATATCAATACTGATTGATTTTTGAATTACTTTACTAGTAATTCCTTGGTGCGATAGCTTACGATATAATTAAATGTGATTTACTAAATGATCTCTTTTTCTCTAACAAATCAAGATTGTTGCACGTGTCACTGTCATTTTGAATATGTTACGTTTTTTTACTTTGTTATTCAATTTTTAAGAAATGATGTAAAAATGACTCAAGTGTTTTGTGAGATCCAGAAAAGGAACAGTCCCTTTAGAGCACTAAAACCAGAACTAAATGTGTGAATACAATAGGAAATGATGAAGAGTGCAACTTCGCCAGCACCCGACATAACGTATTAACAGGGCTGTTGATAGGACATCGTACTCGACTTTTCTCAGTGGTTGATAGGAAAACAAGAGCCGGAATAAAGTAGAATTTTCTGACTTTAAACAAATGCCACAATTCTGTCAAAATTTATGTTAGAGCTACGGACCTTTGAAAAATACCTAAAATTATCCCCTTAAATAAGTGCGTAAAGTTTCAGCTCATTCGGTAAATTAGAAGATAACGGTAAATTAGAAGATAACAACTTGCACGCAAAAACTTAATGTGTGACGTCGACCGGGTATATACATGTCACGGATATACGTGAGTTCTCACTCGGGAGGATAGGGCGTTCAAAGAGGAACCTGTAAATATATTGTTGGCACAAAATAAAATATAAATACGGAGTCAATGAAAAAAACAACAGCTCTCGCTAAAAGTTCTCATTTCTTGTGCTATTGATAATTCCAAGCGAAATACATACACATATCATAGTAATTCATGTTTACAACGTTTTATAACCTCAAATATACCTGTAAATATATTGTTGGCACACAATAAAATATAAATACGGAGTCAATGAAAAAAACAACAGCTCTCGCTAAAAGTTCTCATTTCTTGTGCGCATGCGTAAAGGTTAGCGTGACCGAATTCAAAAATGAAGTGAATGAGGCCCGTCAACGTGTTACAGGTCAAATGAAGTTATTAGTATGAAGTTGAATAATGATATGAATGATTGAAAAAGAGACGATAGGGGAATCATGGGAATGATATAGAGTATGGGTATGAATTACAGAGTATTCTAGCAAAGACAAAATGACCCTGTGACATACTTCCCCGCCAAGGATAAAATGGCGTCCCGACATTTTCAACTCATAAACAAAAAATACTGATACCTGCATATATATCAAAAACCATACTGTCTAACTACAGTAGAACTAATACTAAGGACATGGGACTCGTTAAAGTACTTCTGTCCTAACAGTGAAATTACCAATAAAGGTAATGTATACTGCTTGAAAATGCTGTAAGGCATTAACAACCAGAAAAGTGCCCGAAGCACTGTTGGGAATGGTGAACGCGTTCTTTGGGGATTGTGAACCATGCACGTTAGTACACTGACTCATCTACAAAACTGTAGAACTTGTGTTATGTTTTCACATTACACAATATTCAAAGTAACTCTTTCAGAGTAAATAAAATTTGACAAATTTCTTTGAAGAAATTTTACAAATTGGTTAAATACAAACCATACATACAAATATATATGACGAAACCCTACATTCATATGATAACATATATGAATAAACACTAATCTCAAACATCAGTAAACCATCAACTGACCATTTGAAATAAAGACTATACAAAACTCAACTGAAGCAATTTATTGTTCTCATCTTTTATAAAACAATTTACAAAAAAATGACAAAATCAAATTTGACATCTGTCTGAGAATCTGTACTACCGTTTCCTACTCAAATTCCAATCATCAGTCATCCAGCGTGGCTTCTCTCTTACTCTAGAAGTTCTTCGTGGAGTAAAAGGTGGAGCTTCCGGTCTTAACAAACTATTACCTGACCGTCTTGCAGGAATCACATACTTATCGGATTCCGCGGATACGACTGATGGATTGTCTGAAATAGAGGTTTTAATGGAAGTACTCGAAGACTCAGAAGGTTTAGGTGCTGCCTGTGTCTGAAAAGGAAAGAGAACTGACGGGGGGAAAGGAATTTTTGCCTGGAAAAATTACCCAATTACTGGAGAGAAGGGACATTTTTGTTCGTTTTTCCTTTTTTGTAGGGGGGGAAGACCCAGGGAACGGGAAGGGGGTAGAATATTCGGTAAAAGGGGTTAACCTTTTGGGGTTGAAATCTTTTCCACAAAATTTTTTCCGGCGCTTAACCGAAATAATAGGTAAATTTTTGGCCCCGGGATCAATAAAAAATTAAGATATTTTTTACTCCAACGGATCACCCAAAAATTACACTTCCTTTTTAAAACCAAAAAACGTTTTCTCCCCAATTTAACCCCGGTCCCCGGGAAACAAGGCCCCGTACTTTCCCCGAACACGAAAAATTTTTAACGCTTCTTTTGTCCCGTTTGGGCTTTGCCCGTCTCCCCTCAGGGGCAGCAACCTGAAACGCGGAAATTCAACCCCGGTTCCCTTTAGCCTTCCCCCCAAATTTTAGTGGTTTGTGTTGCAAAGGAAAAAGGGGGTTCTGGGGGCCGTTTCCCGAGGAAAAGGTTTTTAATGAAAGGGCCCCAAAAGGGAGGGCCCGCCCCAAACATAAGAAAATTGGTGTCGGTCCCTTTCGTCGGGGGCCGGGGTTTGAGTTTTTTATGAAAATGTACAAGGTTTGGGTACATGAGTTTTTCCCAAATTTCCCAGCTTTTCTTTATCCTCCAAAGACCTGGGCAAAAATTCAGAAGTGTTTTGGTTAAACCTTTTCAGGCTTTCCCGGTTACCGGGGGAGGGAAAAGGCAAAGCCCCTAGACTTAGCGATTTTTGGGCCAAGCTGACTTTAAACCCCCTTTAATGACTGCCCCATCAAAATTCCTGCCTTGATCACTAATGTAGGCGACTGGGGAAACCATAATGACAAATGAAATTATCAAAAAGTGCTTTCGCCGTGGTGCGTGCCGTTTGGTTCCTAGTCGGTATGGCTTGTGCATAATGGGTAAAGTGATCAGTGATTACTAAACACGTTCTCATATCCACCTGCTGACATCTCTAAGGTCAAAAAGTCCATGCAGACAAGCTCTAGAGGATAAGAAGAATGGATTGGAATAAGTCCTGCAGAAGTTGACAAAGGTGTTTTCCGCCGAATACAACGAGGACACTTCCGTACTCGAGTTTCAACAAAACCATCCAAACCTGGCCAAAAGAAACGAGATTTGATGAGGAATTGGTTTCTGTCAATACCCTGATGTCCGGCATTGTCATGGAGACCAGTGAAAACCATATCCTTAAATGAGTCTGGCAGAACAAGCTGATCTACGGGATGATTACATACCTGACCATGACGATAAAGTATATACCATCCTTGATAAAAAGACTGGGCCATTCTCGAAGGTATTGACGAACAGATTCAGTTTCCCATGAAGAAAGTCTTCTAGTTGGTTTATGACCAGTAGAAAAAAATCTGTATAAACCTTGAAATTGTAGGATCTTTTGTCTGTTCCAGCTTCCAATCAACATCACTAAGGTAGTTTGATGAAACATCAGTAGTTATATCAACAACTTTCTGACTCATAGAAATACATTCAACAACAGGTGATTCCTTAATATACATACAACCTTGTATAATAGCTTTAACTGCGTCATTGAAAACCACAGTTTCAGATGAATTAGGAACTCTTGAAAGAAAGTCTGCATCTATGTTTGAACGTCCAGCACGATACTGTAAGGTGAAGTTGAAAGATGCTAACGCAGCTAACCATCTATGTGAAGTTGCATCTAGTTTGGCGGAAGAGAGCACATACGTTAATGGGTTGTTATCTGTACGAACTTTGAAGGAGTTACCATACAAATAATCGTTAAATTTGTCAACAACAGCCCATTTCAACGCAAGAAACTCTAACTTATGAGCAGGATAATTTCGCTCATTAATACGTAACCCTCTGCTGGCGTAGGCGATTACGCGTTCTTGACCGTCCTGCTCCTGATAGAGGATCGCTCCTAAACCGGAAGTACTTGCCTCGATGTTCAAGATGAACGGCTTTGTAAAATCGGCATAGCCAAGAATAGGAGGAGTAGTCAACTTCTCAATGAGTTGTTCATATGCTTCTTGTTGATCTGAATTCCAAGTCCAAGTAGCTGCATCCTTCTTACTCTTACCTTTAGTGTTTGTCGGGTGTCAAGCAAGGAGGTCATTCAAAGGCTTGGCTATACTAGCATAACCGGGAACAAAACGACGATAGTAGCCGGTAAAACCTAAAAAACTGCGAAGATCCTTAAGACACTTCGGAACGGGCCACTCCTTCAAAACTCTGGTCTTCTCCGGGTCAGTCTCCACTCCGTCAGCACTAACAACATGACCGAGATATGTGACACGAGGGAGGAAAAACTCACACTTGCTGCCTTTAAGCTTCAAACCAGCTTCCTTGAGGCGTTGAAAAAACAGCATCAAGTCGTTTAAAAGTGCTCATCTAACGTCTTGAATAAACGATGACATCATCCAAATATATCAAACACTCCTTAAGATGAAGTTCCCCCATACATCTTTCCATCAGGCGCCCCTGGAAGGTGGCGGGAGCGTTGGTTAGTCCGAATGCCATCCTTTCACACTCATAGAAACCAAGTGGGCCGACCGAAAAAGCAGTCTTGGGGCTTCAGACTCCTTCATGGCAACTTGCCAGTAACCCGATCGTAGGTCAAGTTTGCTGAAGATTTGGAACCTGCGAGGGGAATCAATGGTTTTCATCAATCCTTGGCAAAGAGTAGGCATCAGTAACTGTCCGACTATTCAACTTTCTGAAAGTCTATGCAGAACCTGAGCGAATTGTCTTTCTTGCGAACAAGGACGACGTTACTTGAGAAAGGGTTTTTGGATTCCCTAATGGCTCCTGCAGCAAGCATATCTTGGAGATGTTCCCTAACCTCTTCATACATACCAGGGGATGCGACGATAGGGGTCCTTGAAAGGCTGTGGATCAGTCAAGTTGATCTCATGCTCAAACAAGATTAGT